TTAGGGAAACCACACGAGAGCCACGTCCAATCATCAGTCTCGTTCTCTCTCTTCCTCTCAAAAAATAATCATGAAAATATTTTTATTGCGATTAAGAAACATAACGTGTTGTCGGGTTTTAACGTTCTGTTGTATTTGAATATATTTCAGACGTTTCAGTGAAACAAATGCCTCCAATTTTAAAGTAGATTACATTCATCCCCAACAAACTAGGACCCCTTGAGTACGAGGATAAAAATTTGGTTTGTTTTACTTTAACGATGTAAAAATATCGAAGACTTCATATTACACTACACGCTGTAAAAACATGAATTCTTACAGTAATAAGAATATGGCTATAAATAGTAAATATTTAAATTACTTGTTCAACATTTACTTACTGAGTAAAGTATCCAGAAGTTCCGCAGAAATATAAAAATATTATTTTCTTATACGTATTTTTATAGGAACTGAAACTCAGAAATCATTTTCGAAAGACGTCTGTTTGGAACACACTTTTAAATTTAAAATATACGTTTTCCACATCAACCCAGGGTTAATGAACTGTGTGAAATAATAAGGCTATTTGCTGTCCATCTGCAGCGTCTAATCATCATTTCTACAACAATAATTTGCTGTACGTATTCACAATGTATTCTGCAGTATAGGCCGTTATGCTTTGAAAGAAAATATCGATCGATCTCTCACTTTAAGTATGACGCTGCTTCGCACCGCACAGAACTTTTGTGCGACACCACACTCTACGGAAAACAGTGGATTAAGTACACACTTACCGCAAAAGTGTTAATATTAATTGCATTGATCGCACACAATTTTGAAGACGAAGAGACAGAAGTTAAATGCAGATGGTGAAAATTAAATTGAGACCATCGAGGAACTTCTTAAAATGTAATGTAGTACGCATAGGGATAAGAAATTTCAACTAACTGCTGCCTCCAAATCCGAAGGGAAGAGACAACTTAGAAGACAAAGAAGTAGATGGGAAGACAATATCAAAAATAATCTAAAATAAATAGAATCTAAGGGTATGGATTGAATTCAGTTGGCTCAAAATAGAATCTGTTACGGGCTTTTGTAAACATGGTAATGGACCTTCGTTTTCCATAAAACACGGTAATTTTCTTGGCCGTCTCCGTGACTAATATCCACTGCCACAATGTAAATACGAAAAGTCATATAAAATTGTGCACCATGCAGGTCTCAAGAAGTAGTTTAAAACCCGTTGAAGAACCTTTACTTCTCCTAACCACGTGTTCGTCAGCGATTGGACAGCAACCTGGTCTTCTGTTCGACCAATCAGAACCTACATTTCCCATGCCCGCTCTATATAAGGCTTCCTAAAACCCCCAATACAAATTAATCTTGAAGATGGTAACTGCAATGTTTGTCGAAACGTTGGGAAAACCTATAATAACATTCAACTTGACTAATCCCCGAAGGCCGAGCTTATACAAAGAAAACGAAACGAGCTTTGCAGAAATAGGATCACATTCAAAATGTGCATCAACTTTCTTTAAAAGCTCCGTACCCCGGATGTCACGTGCGCATCGCCGGTTATTACCGGACAAAATAAAACTGTCTCACAACGTCAACGAAAACGCAGCCTGAAGCTAACATCTGCACAGAACAGCGTCTCACTTAATTTTAGGGGTCGCCAGACGCATTCCCGCGGGAAGTCAGAATATTAATTCCAACAGAGCCAATCACTGGACTTTAAAGCATATCGGCATTTTCTCGTTGAGTGGTCCTGTGTAGATAAAATTATTATTATACATCGATCTCACTATCAGAGAATTACACGAAACGTGTATAGTCTGTCATAAAATTGGTAATTTGAAGGTCGAAAGCATTTTATCCCTGAAACCATAACAAGAAATATCGCCCTGATGATGGCGGCAGTAAGTAACTCTGAAACATTGGCTAGTTGGCTAGTTGTGCGACAATACACGACAAAATCTCAGGAAACAATCGACCAATCAATCGATCACTTCCTCAAGAAGTTCACTGCTCCACAGAGTTAGTCAATGAATGACGATGATGATGATGATGATGATGATTATGATGATGACGATGAACAGACTTTACAGCGAATTCCTCCTTCTACACAAGCAGCTGCCTGCGCTGAGACCAAAGATGAAATCAAAACGCCGTAACAGTGCGGCAATTTCTCCGTCTCCTGTGTTGATGGAACAACCTAAGCAAGGTATTGCAGGCGCTTTATTACTCCAGCTGGATGAAACTGAAAAAAAACATGCACTACATCAAGCCGTAATAACGTACCGGCATTATAATACAGATAGGACTCTGCCTCTCTCGGACAAGTAGTCACTCCAAAAATCAGTACAGACTCAAGAAATGAAACTTTAAATTTGTGCTGCTGATAACACTTTAACGCAGTGTCCAAATGCAGAATTCTTAAATAAACGGCCAATTTATTAAACTGAGCGGCCAAATTCTCGTTCTTTCAATAGTAATCTTGTTTGCTGTCTTTTATTAGTTAGCAACGTTTCGCATAAACATATCGCAACCTTCTTCAGGGCTTACTAATCGGCGTCACAAATTCAGACAACCATGAAGGGCATATCTACCGCCGTGACAATCTCATGTCTCACTTTGACCGCTTTAGCCCTTGGTTCTCAAAACAACCAGGGCGCTGGTTTGGGCCCACATCCGGTCTGATGGCTCGGCGAAACAAACCACGCGCATCCAGCAGCATTGCTGTCTGAGCAGTCTCTTTCTATTGCGGCAAACAAATTTAATTTCTTGAGAATCATATCCCATATTTTTATAAAACAGCACAAAACGTCAGTCTTTATTGTAAGTCCCTGGAGAATGAAGAACTGTTTTACTGTAATTTGTTGTGTTTGCTTTCCAACCATTAAGCAGGCGATGTTTCAAATTTGCATAGCTTCCTATGTCTGTTTTTTTTTATTCCAGATAATGGGCTGTTACTTTATTTTTCATGGAACTAGCTTTTTATCGTTCATATTGAAAAAAAGGTGCAGGACCATGAGATTGAATTTTAAGGGGATGAGAGTATTTCAGTTTTGTAAAAAAAAAACCTCTGAAATTTCGTATATGAAACTTCGTCTATAATGTAACGCTATTACAAGTTCTGCTCTCTTATATATTTAAGTGTTTTAATACCAGCTCAACCCTTGTTCTCTGTCAGCGGCAAGTCTTCTTTGTCCGATGCATTAACTCAATATCCACACCGAATACCCACCTACTCTTCTAATCAACAGATTTCGTTTTTACACTTACCGGAAGTTACAACTTAAATTTATTCCACCATCCAAGCGTTGTTACAAACTTGTTATGAAGCGAGTGATTTAACATCCTGTGGATATTTTTTTTTTCATTATAATTAATTCGCAGAGATACGTTAGCAAATATTTTAACAACCGGTTCTGACAGAACGAACTTCCGTACAGCGTTAACTGCAATCTGCGGTCACGTTTTCTGCACAAAAATTTCAAAAGCGTTGTCTTACTCGTGGTCTATCCGTCCTTGACACAAAATTCTTCTGCCTTCTCGGTTTATTTTGCCACAACTGAGGTCAAAGTCATCACGAAAAAGCGCACACTCCATTTCGTTTCTACACATCTGTGTGCCATATCTGAATTCATCATTAAACATTATGGATTACATATAACGCAAGGACTTGGTAAAACGTCGTTAAAATCAAATACGGAAAACTAACACCCGCGGAAGTTGTGATTAAACTTATATTGGACAAACGGTTTATCCAAATCTCAATTTTAACTATTCATTTCCACCCTGACAAACACTGTTTCGGCCTTTCATATCATCAACAGCTGTCTCTTCAGGTGGCTTGAACATTCGCCTTTCCTTACAACTTTTAGAACAGACCCTTGTGACGCGCCGAATGTAGGTGAGATTTCAAGTTCTCACGGCGGCAAGTATGAAGTTTACTGTCTTCTAGTATGTCATCTATCGATACAATACTCACGTTACATTTATTTCAGATCATTCTAATAAAACCACTTCAGCTGTAGTGTCTTTTCTAAGTGATATATTTCTATTTAATTTTCCGGACAAAGATCCCTATTCACTTCTAACCCCCCCCCCCCGGGCCCCTCCAGGCCTGTCTCATCCTCTTCATATTATCACCACAAGAGAATCAGGAAAAATTTACATTCTCTGATTGCTTTGACTGAAGAGTGGCCTAAATCCCTTTAACGTAACATGAAATTCTAAACGATGCGGTTAAAAGTGAAATTAATCACTGCACACACGTACCATTTTGTTAACTGCACTAAAGAGAGAAATATGTATCTGTTATAAGTTCAAATTAAATTATATCATAAGTTTTTATGTTCTCAAATCTCAACTATTCTGTCCACAGAAATTTCCAGGAAAATGTTATTTTCCTTGTTATTCACGTCAACAGCGTTTTGGGAATTCCGATATGATCAACAGCTGCATCGTAAACCCGTCAGTTTCAGCCGCCAGCAAAGAGGACGGGTGTGAGTGACCCGCCACGGGATTTTTGCTACTCAGAAAAAAAAAAACAGAAAAACAAACTTTGTTTTGGCGATGAAGTAAGTTTCGCCAGTTGATAACGTTCAGCTATACCAAATGTTATCTGAGTGATCAAATCAAGGGGGTGAGACTGGCGGTCCATGTATCAAGAACGGCAGAATGAAAAATGGACGTAAGATTTTACTCGGATAAACTTAAAAAAATAAAACCACGTAGAAGATCTACGGGTAGATTAAACGATAACATCAAAACGAATCTTAAGTAAACGTGGTACGACATTGTGGAGATTCAATAAAACAAGAGATCATCCGTTTGTAATTACGTCTTAAATACAGAAAGAAACAATTATACAAAACATATTCTACGTTAACCTTTCATTTCATCTTTGAAACAAAATCTATTTTTAGTTTTCAACGACTTGAGGACGTTCAGCGTAATATAACGCGGCATACTATTTGAATGCTCTCAGATGGAAAATTATCATCACAACTCACCTATGGATAAGACGAAATGTGGCTCCAGCATCCGGCGTCAAATCTCCCAAAATCCGCTCCTTCCATGTCACAGTCGATCGAACGGGATCTTCGAGTAGAAGAAAATAAAACAGTTGTAACACAATTTTCACTAGCAGACGGTTTTCACCATTCAGCCGTGTAATTCACTTTTTTTAGTCAGACTTTTTAATCCGTAGTTACTACAAGACAGGTAAACAAAGTTTGCAGATACTTGGCATCCATGAAACGTAAGGAGTACACAGCTGTAGATAAGAAACTGTAATCACATCCATTCGTTAGTGTTTCAATCAATGTACGAATTAACCAAAGTTCTGGATGCAGTAGGCGTGGGTAATAATTGTATAACTGTTCTACTTTATTGGCTGCTTTAAATAAGAGAGCACATTTATCGAGCAAAGCGTTCAGAAATTTAAAAACCGCGAACAGTTCACCATTTTTCACTATCCTCAGTTACTTTTACGTAACATATTCTTTGTTCGATACATTCACAAAACACTTGTGGGAAAACATTTCTGTTTACGATTTCACATAATTTAAAAATTAAAACTCATCCTCACAAATAAGTTAAAATATTTATAAAATAACTTATTAAATGGATCAAATCTTTTAAAAAAACTGTCAGTTTTCTGTTCATTACGTTTCAGTTTTCACTTTCAAAATACTTCAAATAACACTTTAAATATTAAAAAAACATATACAACTTCCAACATACAGCACAGACGATAAACTCAGAATTACTTCCTCTTTTTTCTTCACAGACCAGCCCCTGAAACACTCCGGGCGTCGCCCTCAAACCGACGTCCACCGACGGTGGTGCAGAGTCCTTATCCGTCGGACTCCAGCTCCACACAGTATACAGCCATCGTGCACGACACAGTTCGCGGCGTCTATCATCAACAGTTCTGGGTTTTATCCTCAGCCTAATGCTCTACGGTGCACGAGTGCAGCAGACATCATCAGAACAGCGACCGACAGTGTAAATCTCCTATTCATTTGATACAAGGCACTCAATCAATGCAGCGTCGCTGAACTCTTATTAATTTTCCTTATCGTACGCTTCAAAATAAAGGAGAATACTATGGGCGGGGAATGCAGCACGCAAGGGAGAGCCGGGGTACGCATAAAATGTTAGCCGATCTTAATTCCTGTTTAATTTCAAGGCAATTTAAATTGTTCATATTAATTAGCCTTAAATAACATAATGATTAGTTGACTAGGAAGTGGAAGGAATCAATTACGGCCACATTTAAAACACTGTTCTGGGATCTACCTCACAACACAGACGGTGAACTCAAAAGTAATTTACTATTTTTTTTTAAATTTCAGATCACCCCGTGAACTCTCCTGGCGTAGCCCTCCAACTGAGAGGACAAATATTCTCGGCTCAGAGATTTGAACTCGGGACTTCCTGCACATAAAACTGAGAGTAATTTGGCAAAGGTCCTGAAAACATTGTTGAAAAATTTCTGATGTGGTTTCCTTCAGCCCCATCAGGCTAACATCGGCGCAATACCTGAAATTACGTCGCAACCGCTTCGTTATACGTCCTCCTTAATTCATTATTCACTAATCATCCTACTATTTAACGCCACGTAACCCGAGCTACTTACAGCGTCCTTAAATACACCACAAATAAATATGTAATCGATCTTAATATATGTCTGCATGAAGGTAAATGAACTGTGTTGTTACCAGCTTCTACATGGGCTGTAGTTCTGAAAACAAAATTTTTTTTTCGTATTTTATTAGCCTGAATGTTAAATGATTCTTTGCTGGGACCGCGAGATGAACGGCTGAGGTCTGATGACCCAAAATCTCTCTCACACTATTTGTCTGCCTCGTGTTCATTGAAGCCTGCTCATTTTAATGAACTGCCCTGGTAGGAGGAGACAGGAGGAGGGGAATGACAAGATACTGATTAATGATGTAAAAGTTCTGTTATTAGAATAATCTGCAAATTTGAAGAACAGTGCTTCATGTACCAGACTAAATATGGGGTATTAAGCGCCGACGATAAAGTGAGTCGACGTTTAAAGTATCTTTGTAACGTAGTAACAGAGATGATAGTGCACTGCGGTTAACCTGAAATTTTGAAGCACAAAAGCAAAACAGATTAATTACGTACAGAGTAAAGTTATCCGTGTTCCTTAATTAAGCATCATGACATGGAAGGCGTTTGGGGGAGTGAAAGCGTAACTTCATTCTTACTTAACCGACAACAGCTACTCTGCAGACGGTAAAAATACTTGCCGTTCTACAAAACCCTGGAATTCGTCCACCAGTTGAGCGACTGTTAACTTCAAGAAGTTAGTTAAATTAACTGATATCATATATGGGGCAAGGATTTCATATTTCTGGCGATGTGCTACGTATTAAGGTGTCACAGGGCGTGTACAAATTTGTTACGCATGCTGCATACATTTAAGGACCCACGAAATCAAAGAAGCAGATGAAATCCCATCTCCGACAGCGCCTTTCATATGTGAAAATGCAGCTGGTTAGAATATGGTGAGAAGAAAGGAAGTAAGAAGGAAAAACGCTAAGAGGGAGGAAACTTAGATGAAGAAGGAGATAGAACAGCTTTGAAATGGTGGGAAGATGGCGTCGAGGATAAACTTCTTCGACATGCAAGGATGCTAGGCTAGAGTTCATATACGGACGGCGTTGTAAGAGGGTGCCGGAGGCTGAAGAGTATTCTGTCAGCCACTCTCGTTCGTAGCTTTCACTCGAGGCAACTCGACGGCTGTTCAAGAAAATACTAACGCTGAGCGTATAAAAAATAGACATTTTACCGAATATCTTCATGTAAATGTGTTTATGATTGTTGGTTTAAAGGATGATAAACAGAAGTTTCTCTAAATTTACAGCGTAAATTGAGACAAAACGTGACATGCACGGTACAGGGTGCCTTAAAATAAATCTCTAATTGTGGCAAAATATAGAAAAGAAAAATTTGTTCAAGACGTCACATTATTATCTCTGCCTCATTCTGTTATTCAAATCGTAAAACACATGTTCGTTCTGTCATAATTTGTGTGTGCGTTCGTCTGTGTTCATGACCCTGGCTAATAAATTTTAAAATCAACTGATCAATTTTTTGTAAACATTGGTACTAACACGATGCCAACTGAAGTAATCACCTTAATTCACCTTAATTATTCTCTATTAAATATCACTACCGACATGGCTCTCGGGTAAAATACTGAAATGCTCTTTGATTAGTATTATGAATTCCTTTCTTGTAAACATCTTTTAAAAATATAGAATTCTTACCCCCGCCTTTTTTAAAATATCAGCTGTTTAATGGTACAAAATAATGTCTTCAAGTCTCACAGTAATAACTAAAAGCTCTTAAATATATTTACATACTTCATATAAACCGTTTTTCGCCAAATCTCTCAAAGATGAAAGCTGCAGAAAACTCCGATATTATGTCAGATAACATTTAGATATATGAAATATATAACAGGAAACTGTACATAGTTAAATTGCACAAGTACTCCTCTGTTCTACCTGCTGATTGTTTTATAAAAATTATACCATTTAAATTAAATAACGTCTTGCTCATTAACAGCATAATTATTAAGGAAATGACCAAAAAAGTAACATATTTTAAAAATATAATTGTTATAAAAATAAATTCCAACTAACGTCAACACCAGTTGTTAGCTTAATAAATTCTTAACAAAAGTTAACATATTTTAACAGGAATAAAACTGAATCAGTGCATTTAAATCCTTTCACTCTGGAATAAATCTTACATTAATTAATTCATCGAATCTAATATTTTGTTACGATGTCGTGATTCGAGGAGTTCGCATTTCCATCACACAAGTTAAGTGCATTAACGGACCTCAAAGACAGAAGACTGAATCCCATGGCATTTCATGAGCTGTGAGGAGTGCCACAAACATTACTCACCGCTGTAAAGAGAAAGTGTTCTGCTTAAGCGCATTTAAATTACAGCAGGGAACTGACGCAACGAAATTATGTTATCTATAAGATCGTCGTCAGATCGACTGTCAGAAAAGATGATTTCTGAAGCCCGTGTAATCAGCACGTCATAAGAACGGCGTCATATATCCAACTGTAAACCTTCTTCAGAATAAACAGCACGGAATTCTGAATCATCCTGTGTACAGACTGGCTAGTAATTAGCAAATCTCTACTAGGGCCATATCAGTCATTTTCAGGTCCGATCTATTAGGGCTTCGCCCACTCCCTCGTGACCCGCGGTAGCAAATACGTGACTCTTCTTTATTTGCATTCGTAGCATTAATTAACTAACCAATTAATTAACAATGATGTTTTTATTCAAAACGTAATGTTATTGATATCTTTTTAATTTGTACGAATTCAGTAACATATTACAAGTGACTGCATTCTGCGGAATATCAATCCAAGTACGCACGTAAAATTTACAGTCTGTATCACTGAAAAATGGAACAGGCATATGGTGGTAGAATACACTGTGGAAATTATTACTAAGAGATTGAAAGTGACAGATGAGCTCTTAAGAACATGGTAATGAACCTGCGGTTTCCATAAAACATTCATCTACCACACCGACCTACGTGATTGTCTTGGTCTGCGCTTTAAACTGTAGGCTTAACCCTGTTAGATATCAAGAGAAAGCGATGATTTTAAACAAATGCACGTAAATATACACAAGTCAAGGTATTTTTTTTTTCGCCTGAGGTTTTCTTGAAGTAATCTTCACTAAAACATTTTATCTTCTTACGTGATGCATGAAAAATAGGGAATTGTAAAATACAAGGACGACTTAACACATAGATTAACTTACGAGGGATACCTTTCAACAAAAGAATGAACATACATCTCTGATGCAATAAACAATATGCTCTAAAAACTATCTAAAAACACGTGACGGAAAAAAGAATTTTACAGTACACTTATGTGTGCGTATGAACATTATTTCTGTTGTACTATGTTACATTAGTGTGCACGGACCTAAGACACAGACCTGAATCACACTGAAGTTAATATGCATCATGTATTCTGTTCGTGATTTGCTGCTTAGCAGGCAACGTCTGACAAATATTGTTACAAAAATCTATTGGCATGTCGCGTAAGAAGGCTCAAACAATATTGACCTCGCTGATATGCTAATGTGTTCCAAGAAGCATCGATCATTTTTCTGCTACAAATATATCCGTATTCAAGAGACTGTTTGTTCAAGTTCTAGTCAGTTGCTAAGGCTTTACATTGGAAGCAGAAAGCACTTAGAGACACGCCGACGTGTTAACAGAAATATTAATAAAACAGCAACGTATCTTTCCAAATGTAAGTACAGTGCATATACAACATCATATATTTATTTGCAATACATTCATAATTAGGAAATTACAAAACAGAAGGAAGCATATTTACATTAATTATTGTAGTTACTGGATTGATATCACACACGTAAGCAAAAATCATCATCAGCTCCTTCCGTATCCCTGCCTCTTCAATACGTGCGTCAAAGCATTATAATGTTATAAATAGAGTAATTACATTTTCATCCGAAACTTCTAGTTACGAAATATTACGATACTGTTCCATTTACCGTAATTATACGTGTTAATTATACATTATTATACGTATTACCCTCTGTTGTGTAGCTTTTATAAAAAAAAATTTCAGATGTTCTGGGGACGAAACTCCTTGTGATGTGCGTACTTCATTCAACGTGCATTATTCTATTGTTTAATTAACAGTATGGACGTGGAGGAAACAATTTTGTGCACTGTTACTCGTCTAACAAACTCGCACATGTGTGTCACAGATGTTCGTTACACTAGTTAGTTCCGAATATTTGTTATTCACTGCCCTTTTTAAAAATTCCGACCGTGTAGTTGCATTATCCACATTCAGTATTACCATGTAACAACGTGCACAATATACCAATCTCATTTTTACCAGACTTATTGTGTGTTTGCTTTCGTTAGTTTAATAGCATTTACATCGTTATCAAATATTTTATTTTTTCTTTCATTAATTATTGTTGTTATTTACATTTAAACATATAACAAAATATGCTTATTAAATACTATTATTGAACATGTCTTTATTAATATTCTTTATAATATTTAAATTATGCAAAAGATACATGCGATATTTTGTATAATATATTTCTTTACAGAAGAAAGTTAACACATTACGACAAAAATACACGAGTGTTAATATTTTACGTGTGTGTGTATCATGTAGATTTTATAAATGATTGTTGATGCTGACTGGTCTCGATTTCAAAGTGTTGACACGTGTGAGTCCGCACATGTGCTGACACACACTCGTGTAAATACATTAACACAATCATAATATCATTATAATCCAGGATAACGTACGTCTATCACAAATACAAACGAGTGTAACGTATTACTTGCATTTTATACGAACACAGTATGTTTTATTATAATTCAATGGGTACAAATAGAATTTGTGTTTTTAAATTTGAATTTACACTTACGTTTATACGTATAAAGAATGCCTCTTTTTGTACGTTTCAGAAATGGTGAAATTTCAGGTTCTGTTCATTTCGTTGTTACCAGCTTGTCTGTTGGTGATATGCGGAACTCCTCAAGCAGGTAAGACCTGAGCTATATACTAACATTTTTTTCCAAATTAACCATTCTTAATTACATTTTCTTTGGAATAAGAACAGAACTATGTGATTTACTATTACAACTGAAATTATTCAAATTATTGTGAGCGAAAAATTTGTAGTATGAGGTTTTCGCTGCGGTAGAAGTTTAGAGTTTCGTCTTATGTGCACATGCTGCCTCCACCTTCAGATTTCAACCATGATTACGGAGGCAGGTTCCTCCGAAAAGTTCGAATACAAACAGAAGACTGCAAGCCACAATCTATGCATAATATTAACAGGTCCGTGATGTAGCGCCGTGTACTGTGGTAGATGTTGACCGACGTTTCAGGGAAGCTTACTATCTGTATCATCATGGATATCAAGCCGCAACTTCCCTTGAAACGTCGCTTAATTACTGACAGACTACACGGCGAAACATGCTAGGAGATAACATTCTCGTTGCCGTGAGAACCTGATATCTGACCTATTTACAAATATTCTACGTAAGACGATGAACCACGTTCTATCTGTAGACCTGAACATGTTTTGTAACGAGATGCATCATTTTTTCTAATAACATTGAATTTCATGTTATTTACCGTTTATACAAATTCCGTAATGGTCGCGGAATTTATTTCGTAAAGACTTCGTTGTCTATAATAACATATTTTTCATACATTCATACTACAACAACCCTGATATTTGGTGATAAATTGTTATAGTGCAAAAAGTACCTAAATCCTCTGCTTTGTTGAGGACATTCAGCGTGTTAATATCAATTATAAGGCAAAATTGTTCTGACATTTCACGCTATATTTAACACATACCAACATCAATTGTAAGTCGGTTATCAACCTGAATGCTCTGATGGCCAGTTAGCATCCGACCAATCAATATTCAGATGTAAATCCTGGTTAGCTTATAACTGAATTGCTATATTAGTAAGCCTTGGTACCAATACAGTGCCTGTTTGGATTGCAGTGGATGGACGGACATGTGACGACATGCCTTGTCTCAGGGACGAGGTGTGTGTAATGGAGATTGGCCGGTGTGACTTCAAAGGACTCTGCGAACGCTACCCAACATGTCGAGTTCCCAGGAGGTCGCTGGAAGGTACTAGGTGCAATAGGTCCAATGCAGTAATTGATGAACAATTGGTTTAAATTAAAACTTTAAACATTATTATTCAATCCCCCAAACAATCGCACCACAAAGCCGAACAATTTTAATAATGATGATTCAATTTAATTCAATTCTTTATTATTAGTGTGCTGTATCAACAGCCACATGATTATAATAATGAAATTGGCGGTGATCATGGTAACGTGACTCATGCTGCAGTGAATAATTCTTGACATTTAATTTACCCTACAAAGAACTCTTATAAAATTTTGTAATTTCAATGCGACTTACAAAGATAAAGCTAAATTGTATTACTGTTCGACACAAAGAAAGTTCACTCCCGTATACCAGTATATTATCATCATCATAATAATAATAATGGCGTTGCTGTGTTAAATGGTAAAGAATTTATTTTACAATCCTCGCGTTTTAGTGATCTGGCGGTACACACTGCTAGTTAGACCAGATCATTCGCCACTCAGTGGCAACTCAGTTTAATTAATCCTAAATTCTGATTAATCTGAAACTCACCTAATGAGATTAAATGAAACAGACTAGATATTAATAGTAACAGAATAAGATAATAGGATCATGAACGTCCTTGACATGGATTGTGGTTGGGGGCGACAGGTTCCGTCGATACGCTGATACCTGCCTCTGAGACCACACGGCGTCACAACCCAGAATACCACAATCCACAATCCACCGCCGTTAAACCATGAAATCTCATACAACATCGAAATGCCTAGTCAACAAGAGTGACGTCTAATGCCCACTCAGAAGGGTCCAAAGGACCACAGAGGCCTAAATGCTAAGATGGATACTGATAAAGATCATAAACACAATAAAATGCAGACCGCAGATAGACGAATGTGTCTGTACCAGAAGCTCATACCATCGCCCTATTCTTTGCACGTAGGTTCCTGTGAGCACTACAGGTGCCCCCCTGGTCAGTTCTGTACCCTGTTGGAGGATCGATGCGTACGGAAGCCGTGTCCATCGAGACCTGCATGTGTTTCATCAAACCACACAGGTCTGGTTGGCTGAAACCTCTCACTTCAAATACATAAAACTGAAGACCCTACAAAGATAATTGTTTCAAGCTAATTAACTCCACTTGCTAAGCAAAAAATTAATATATTTCTAACAACAATTAGTAAAATGTTTCCTGCTTTCTTTGAGATATATACACTCCAATCGCATTGTTTACCATTTACTTTAAATATATAAATCTATAATTGGAAAAAGTGTCTTTTGTTACATATTCACAAAATCATTGTCCCTTGTATTTCCTGCAATAGGTTATTCATTATATCAACAAATTCAAGGGCAAAAGAACTCAGTTGTCAATGAATTTCAGTTTCTGAGAAGGAACGCAAAAATTAATAAACAAAGCGGACAGGAATGAGAAAAGAAAAGAAAATCTTAACATTTTAAGTAATCTCTGCGTAAGACTTGAGGTTCTCACAGCGGTGAGTATGAAGATTTCCGACCAGACTACACAGCGCAACAACCCAGAAAACGGAAATCTTCTTAATCTCTGCGTGTTCATTGCTCATAAAACCTCACTGCTTAAAAAGTAGCTATTCCTTATTACGTGGACGTTAAAGGAGCAGCCCTAATACGAAACTGCAAGAAAATCATTTGTTCTTATCGTGACTTTCCTATTTCAGGCTTACACAGACTAAGAAGAAGCAATGTCGGTCTGCAATGAACACTTGACCACTAAACGTACACTTAATTAATGCTTGAAAACTGTAAACTTACATAACCTAATCCTAAGAGCTCGTGCTATGTACTAATAAAGGAAACACACCACGTACAAGCTTCATAAGTAACAGAAATTTATTACTTTTATGATAATTAACTTAGACTGTAAAACGATATTTTATTAACACCATGCAGTATAGTTCGTAAGAAGCTATCAGACAGCCAGACAAGAAATTCCAAAACATTTTACGGAACCAAAAGACACAGAAGATCTCATCAATGGATCCTATCTTCAGGTGCATCCATTTCACTCCCTCTTTTCCTATTTTTCAATATCCACTTTAATATTATTCTCTCACATGAACCTTTCCTCAAGGTTTTACTACTAAACCTACAAAATTACGCGTGTCTTCATTTTGTAAGTTCAAACTGTCTCCTCGCCATTCTGTTCCCAAAATAAAACCTTATCTGAATCATTAAGTCTACTATCAGGCGACAGGAGTGGCCGAGCACACTGTGATTATGTGGGTTCGACTCCCACTCCCGGCATGGAAGTTTGTGCTTTCAAATTTAATATTATTACTGTAATCACAATAGTTGCGACTGTGGAGCGGCGTACAGGCCGAATGGGGTTCTGTAATAAAAGCACTCAAATCGAGGTTCTCTCGATTATGCGTCACAGATTATCGCATTGTTCCCGTTACCATTTGATAAATTAATTCCCTACTGGATAGAATTTCCTATAAAGTACCTACACACGGAAATATTTAGGTACATGCACACACACAGCGAACCATGTAAACCAACTCTCTCAATTACGTAATTAACTACGGAACGCGGAGTCATTTTTTAGTGAAGATGACAGTCGTTCAGCTGGTCAAGAAATTACCCTCCGTTCACGTAACCCGATAGTTCATTTCCGCGTTCACAACAGCCCGCCACTGGACCCTGCACTCAGCCAGTTGAATCCAGCCCACAGTCTGACACCTTATTTTTTTTTAAATTAATTTTAGTATTACGCTCCTTTGTTTACCTACGTCTTTTCAAGTTAAATCCCTTCAATTTTTATTCTTATAACTGTGTACGCATTTCTCATCTCCATACGCGTGCCATGCAATTTTTCATTAATCCCTGACTGTAATTCTTAGCCTTCTTCAGTTCATTAGCATTTCAGGTATTTACTTATTCTTATGGAAAATGATAGTTCAGCACAGCATCGACAAAATCAACCTTTGGATTCTTTTGTGAAGAAAAACTGACAAAGCCTTCTAAACCCATTTGTACAGGACTTACATAAAAGAATGTCAACATTTGATATTCTAATATTTATCCATTGCCATAATACATAACAACAAACAGGACAGCTGCTGTCTACCGGCTTAGTTTGGAACCAAAGAGCTCAGAATACGAAGCCAGACCACTAATCATAGTCTAACTTACATTAATAATCTACTGAACAACACGCTACTTTAATGGGATAGGCTCACGTCTGCAGATAAACTGCAAAAACCTAGTTCAATTACGTGATAAAATCTTAATCACCAATGAATTTGATGCAGACTGTTCGAAAGCTATTATCTTCCTTTAATTTAGAGTTCCCCCCGACAAGTACACCCACTCACTACGTGTGTTTACGATCTTTTTAACCCGACACTACTTCGAAAACCCCCAATACACACGCTGTCTCCACTATTAGCATTCAACACGTGTGTAAGGGAGTTGAAGTGCAGGTCAAAGACAGGAAGCAGGAGGGTTGGAACAGGGTGATTTTACACCTTGCCTCGACAGAGGGAGCGAGTCAAGATAGCTACAACAAATTAACACTTGGTTTCACAGCGTCTGGCATCAACACCTGCTAACAACACAGTGCAAGACTAATACTGTGTTCTGTACAGCAGAACTGAGTTAGCGACATAATCAGTTTCGCTGTAGATGTTCGAGGACGCGCTTTTATGTAATTTGTGGTTGGTATATGGTCTGTCAGGCCCACTGTATGTCCAGGGGTAAGATTAAAACTGAGGTTACTTGAATATGGCTGTATTCTGGGTTGCAACGCCGTGTAGTCTGGTAGAAGTTTACCGAATTTTCAAAGGTGCTTTCTGCTTCCATCATCAGGGTGAAAAGTGAGGGTCAGTAAATGTTGACCTTCCAAATGGCGCAACAACCCAGGATACAGCCGTCTTCATACACGCTGCTGTCAGAAACTTAAATCTCATTCAGATTTCTTACTTATATATTTGTTTACTTATTTAGCCTAATGTTTATTTACGAAGGTTACGCTGGCCTTGTAATCTTGGGGTCTCGGGTTCGATTCCCGGCGGTGCCCGAATTTATAACTTGTGTTGGGCGAGGCCGTGGTCTAGGCAACACGGAGTTTTCCTCCGTGGCATCCCAACAATTACTCCATTCACACACAGAAGAAGGCAATGGCAAACCACTTCTGGATCATCTGCCAAGAACGTATATGAACAGGTCCCCGTCCGAGAAAAGGATGGAAGGATCCTGTTCATATGGACCTGTCCTCAGACAGAACACTAATAAAAAAAAATAATAGACCGAGGAACGCCGATACAGAAAAAGAGGACAAGAGAGGCAGGAAGTGAAAATATGTGAAATTCGATTACAAAAGAAAAAATACGATACACCTTTCTCATTATTTGTTGTGTTGAGCGGGAATGAAGTGTTTTAACAAATCACGACACTTCGTCGGGCACTTTAACATGCACATGGTACTGATTACGGTCAGAGTTTCCTACACCAAGTGCTCCTACTTTCATAGTAATAAACAATGCACTCAACTGGTAAGTGTAACGATATGTCATTACAACACATCGCAGCTGTGACCGGTCGACTGGGACTTTTTTTCTCCCCTAATTCCCCTAGAGGTCTGATATGGGGTCGCAATACAGAACAAACCGGGCGATGTTTCAGTGAAAGATTTAACACGCGATTCCCACTTCACTCCGCTGTAGTACGAACCAATAGATCCGCTGATACATTTAACAAGTACATCAGCACCATCAGGTGTACTCTGCAAATGCATGTAATGGTGAATTAAATATGGCGGACTGATTACCGCCACAGGAGACAGGAAAATGGTGGCCCCTGTGTGATGCTGCCAACTCGACAACACAAAGGCTCGTGGTCTGTACCCGAAGCTGAGAAACGGCAGAGAGCAGACATCATTATAAATGGAATAAACTAAACTAGAAGCCCTGTGACTGTCCAAATAAAGGAACGTGGACATGTTACACTCTTGCAAGAATATTTAACATTTCAAAATCAAACTTCGATGTCATTGTATTCCAGACACAAATTAAAATATTTCAATACTGAACATGGCTGTATTGCCATCAAAGAGCATGGAGTACAACTCATCATAAGCAAGAAGTCCATCAGCTGTCCAAAACTATCCTCAGTTTTTATTAAATCCGGAGAATAAACCCGCCACTAGTCATTAATCTCAACCAGATGGATTTAGCCCACGAAATCATAGACTGTTTCTTTGCGATCAACTTTAATATCATCCTCCTATCTCATCCAAGTGTCGTCTTCCTTTCAGATTTTCCTATTAATATTTTTCACACGTCACTCATCTCCTCACCACACGGTAACTTTTGAATTATAATTATAGCAATATTAATTATCTGTACACATCATTAATATAAACAATCCTATTGCTTAGTAAGTGCATTTAAAACATAGAAGTAGAAGGTTTATAATTTGGCTTCTGAATCACAAAATGTTTACAGTGTGTTTAATATTTTTGAACACACTGTAGGACACAAAAATATAAGGCGTCATAAAGTAGCCAATATTCTGTCATGGTTGCATTAAGTCTACAGCGTCCTAAGCCACAAGCCCCCGTTCAAACTACCGAACAAATAATATGGGTTGTAAAAGAAAATGTAGCCATATTGCCACTGGTTCATGGCTTATAGTAATAGGATATTAGTCTCCAGGCTAAGACACTGCAGATATCACATCTGTGCCATGGCCGACGTCTCACGCGGATGTCTCTTCAAAGCCAAGGAAGGTCGCGAGTCTTATGGCTCTCCACCACAGCGAAAATTTCTGGAAAGAACGTCCGAATACCTACAAGTCCACACCAACATCAACATCTTCACCACCTTGAGAACCTTAGATCTAAACACAGAGATTATTAGAAACTGTAAATTAATACTAATTTGAACTAAATCTCTGTGCATAATTTGTACAAGTACGAATTCCCAGTCAGACGTAATAAATATTAAGATTCGCACATAAACACATTTCCAAATTTTTAACTTTACAATGCTTTGGATATGATTTGCAGATATGTTTATGATATGGCACCATATCACATTTTTCATTCATAACACACAAAGATACATCAACCGAGAGATTGAAGTGGATTTAATTCAGTTTCTGAAGTGGCAAGCTTTTGTGAACGTGGCGATGAATTTTGAGGGTTGCATTAATGTGGAAAATTGTCACTTGTGCGGTTATAGCTTCCTCGTTCTTCCCTGGTACAGAACACAAAACCTTATAAATTCTTTCCCCTTGCAAAATATTGTATTCATTCTATTACAGAAATGTTCCTAATATATTCTTCTCTAATAATAAAAATAAAAATAATTTACAGCTGATTTAGCCATACTATACGTCCCTCGAATGTCTTCCGGGCGAGGGACGTAAATCAGACGTGACAGGTGGATGAGCAGTAATAAAAGCTGGAGCCTCCAGCAGCACGCCTGGATGTTCCAGGCTCATTCTCACCTGGACATGTGTGGGAGAGAACCGGACCGAATGAGGCCAGCGAAACTGATGGGTGACACGGATGTTACAGCTTTGAGGGCGACATTGGCGAGATAACGAATCTGATTTCGAGAAAGCAGGTACCAGACTGAAATAAAACTCGTCCTAAGATTTACTCTGATGCTGGAGAAACTGTTATGCTTCTTTAAATTTTCTGTAGAAGAATGAGATTCCCTTGAAATACATTATATTCACTTATTCACTCTCGTTAACAATTCATCTTACATAATCATTCAATCATGTTATTCGACATTAATCGATTCTGTATTTTGTCGTTCAACAACCAAACCACAGTCTCGTTATGACGCAAGCACGTACTTGAAACACAAAGTATAACATTTAAAGCAGTAATATGAAAAGATCTGTGGAGTCGACATTGACTGATAGTGTGGACGGTGAATACATGAATTAATTGAGACCATCCATCTAATTCTGCGCGGGTTACAGCCGGCTAGAACGTAACAACGTACAGTTAAATCTGCTCGGCGTTGTCACATATCAGGCAAGACACAGTGAAAGAGTCAAGAGCCACAGGTGGGCTTTGCCACTGCTTTGACGTCAGACAAGCCGAGTTCCTACAGCGATAACAGGGCGATACTCGGAAACATTAAACTGCCTTGTCTCCTGCCTGTACAAAAGTCGCTTCGCTTTGATAACACTCGCCTTTATGTAACAAGTACCTGAGATGAACCACGAATCGGAAGCAATCTACCTTTGTACTAGCGAAAAGTCAAAATGTAAAGACAATCTTCGTTTATTTTGGCAGCACTGATACAAACATTGCAGTCCTTTCCTCATTCACCGAAGTGGTTCGCCCTGATGATCGAGGCAGCAAGGACCTCTAAAACGCTGGTAAACTTCTATCAGACTACAACCCAGAAAACAGCCATCTTCGAGGTCATCGCCGTGAAAACCTCAAATCATACGAGGTGCGATCGGAAGGTTTCCAGACTGCGCGTATAAAAACCCGTACACTTATCTCAGGTATTAAATTCATCCATCACCCTCGAAGTAGTTCCCCTGGGAGTGAACACAACGATCCCA